GACAAGAATTGTACAGTGTTTAATTATAAGCCTCTAAGTACTATTTGAAGTTTTATATGTACAAGTGTTACTTTTGATTTTAAAAATATTTTTTAAATGTTAAAAACTATGAGTGGTATCAGCAAAAATGCCAGAGTAGGTAACTCCAAGGGCTTGTTCCCCCACAGACACACCTAAAAATTAAGCAAAAACCAACAGATGTCATTTTGTCAGAACTCTGAGAATTAGTCAAAGGCTTACAAAAACCAAGTAAACACAGAACCAAGAAAAAGTAAAATTAAAGTCAGGTATATAGGTTAAATACAAAAGTCAGTATTACTGTAACTTTTGTTTATAATTCCTTTTTCCCTATATGATTTAAAAGATAAACGCATAAAATAACTAACGCATAAAATAATAAATCCATGTTAATGGGCACACAACATGTAAACTCATAATTTGTGACAACAATAACATAGAGGAGATGTGACAGAGCTGAATAGGAGCACAGTTTTTGTATATAAAGGTGATATTAATTCAAATGGAGTGGTGTAAGTCAAAGAGGTTAACTGCAATCCCCAGGGTGACTACCAAAAAATAACTTAAAAATGTACAGAAATGAAAATGAGAAAGGAATCAAATTGGTACACCACACAAAAAAAACAATAAAACACAAAAGGTGGCAGTAATGGAAAAATTAAGGAACAAAAAGATGTAAAATATATAGAAAGTATAATTAAATGACAAGCGTTTGCTTATCAGTAATTATTATAAGTGAAAACGGGTTAAACTCTCCAATTAAAAGGCAGAGACAAGTAGAATGGATCAAAACAAAGAAGGAAGGGAACCAACTCCACTTTGTCTACAAGAGACTCACATTAGCTACAAAGATAAAAACAGGTTGAAAGTCAAAGGATAGAAAAAGATATTCCAGGGAATTCACTGGTGGTCCAGTGGTTAGGACTCTGTGCTTCCACTGTAGGGGGCCTGGGTTTGATCCCTGGTTGGAGAACTAAGATCCTGCAAGCCACGTGGCACAGCCAAAATAAAAACATAAAAAAAAAGAAAGAAAAAGATATGCCATGCAAATAATAACCAAAAGAGAGCAAGGGTAGCTATACTAACATCAGACAAAATAGACTTTAAGCCAAGAATTGTTACAAGAGACAAAGGATATTATATATTGATAAAAGTATTAACCCACCAAGAAGACTTAATGATTATAAACATATATGGACCTAACAGAGCCCGAAACATATGAAGTAAAAATTGACAAACTGAAGGGAGAAAAGATAATTCTACAACAGCTGGAAACTTCAATATCCCACTTTCAATAATGGATAGAACAACTGGATAGAAGATCAATAAGGAAATAGAGGACTGGGACAACACTATAATCCAATAGACCTAACAGATATATACAGAACATTCCACCCCAAAACAGGAGACTACACATTTTTCTCAAGTGCAAATGGAATATTCTCCAGGACAGACCATACATTAGGCCACAAAACAAGATTAAAAATCAACCAAAGTATCTTCTCTGATGACTGTGGAATTCAATAGCTCCTAATGGAATAAAATACGTAAGAAAAAATTTAACCAAGGTAAAACAGTTGGACACTGAAAACTCAAAATATTGCTGAAGGGAACTAAAGACCACATAAATAAATGGAAAGACAGCCCGTGTTTATGGACTGAAAGACTTTATACTGTTAGGATGACAATACTATCCAAAGTGATCTACAAACTCAATACAGTCCCTATCAAAAGCCCAAACAATGTGTTTTGCAGAAATGGAAAGACTGCTTCTCAAATTCATATGGAATTGCAAGGAACCCAAAATAACCAAAACAACACTGAAAAAGAACAAAGTAGGAGGACTCCTGATGTCAAAACTTAACTACAAATCTACAGTGTGGTATTGACCTAAGGAGAGACATATAGATCAGTGGAACAGAATCCAGAAATAAACCCACACATCTGTGGACAATGGACTTTTGACAAGGGTGCTATCCATTCAGTCGAGAAAGAATCGTCTTTTCAACAAATGGTGCTGGGACAAATGGATTTACACATGCCAAAGAATAAAACTGGACCCTGACCTCACACCATACACAAACGTTAACTCAAAATGAAGCAAAGACCGAAATATAAGAACTAAAACTATAATATTCTTAGAAGAAAACATAGAAATAACTCTTCATCACCTTGGATTTGGCAATGGATTTATATATATGACCCCTACAGCATGAGCGACAAAAGAAAATATGGACAAACTGATCTTCATGGAAATTAATAACTTTAGTGCATCAAAAGACATGACCAAGAAAGTGAAAAGGAAGTCTATATGGGAGGAAATATTTGCAAGTTATATATCTGGTAAGAGATAAACAAAAAGGACCTACTGCATGGCACAGAGAACTATATTCAATATCTTGTAATAACTATAAGTGGAAAAGAATCTGAAAAAGAATATATATACACATATGCGTGTATATATATAAATGTGTGTGCATATATAACTGAATCACTTTCCTGTACACCTGAAACTAACACAGCATTGTAAATAAACTATACTTCAATAAAAATTTTTAAAAATAAAAAACAAAAATTTAAAAACCCTCAAGGAGACATCACTTCACACTCACTAGAACAGCTACAATTAAGAAAAAAAAAAGTGTTGACAAGGATGTGGAGAAATTGGAAGCCTTGTACATTGCTGGCAGGGATGCAAAAAGGGGCAGCCTTGGGGGCTTCCTC